CTCTCTCTCTCTCTCTCTCTCTCTCTCTCTCTCTCTCTCTCTCTCGGCAGACAGCAGAATACTCAAGTGATGTTCTGGCCCATAATTTCCCATATTATATACATCTGTGGACTTCGACAATGTATTAATTAGTCCAAGCAAGATTTCTACAGTCAAAAAAGAGACATTACAAGGGAAAGCAAAATTAAACAACTCTTGTGTGACTTCACAGAACTTTTAATGTAGTATATATATGCTTAAATCATTTCCCAATTTTTTTGTTTGTTTTTGAGACAGGGTCGCCCTGTAGCCCCTGGCCTAGAACTCACTATGTAGACACAGAGATCTGCCTGCCTCTGCCTTTGCCTCTGCTGGGATTAAAGATGTGAGCCACCATGCCCAGCTTCATTTCCTGATTTTAATTAATGATTTTAATTCTTCCTTCCTCCCTTCCTGCTAGTCAAAGAATATCTCAATGTAGTGTGAACACATTTTGGCAACACTGATAATATAAAGTTTGCAACTGAAGTAAAAATTGAAGTCAAAGACACAAAGCCAGGGAGAAAGGAGTTGCAATCCATGTATAGGTCACCGGCCTGTGGTTAGGGAGCTCACGGAAATCCTCTTCCTGAAACCTCCAACTCTTTCACAGTTGAATCAAAAAACATGCTTTGCAATGAAAAGTTGATATTTCATTAACATTTCCTAGGTAAGATTATGTCCAAATAAACAAAAATAGTTGAATTATTCTTCTAATTTTTACTTTAGGTCAGTTTGGTATTGGTATGACACAGCATCCCAAAGAGTATATTAGAGTTTATTAAAGTACGATCCAGCAATATGAAAAACACCTGAAATTACTCTAAAATTAAGTGATGTGGAATGATGATGGTTGCAAACTTATGAGGGAAGATGTTACTTACTGATTGTAGGAAAACCACAGGACTATGAGTCTTCTGCTCTAGCACAGCCACCACTGAGATGAAACTGCTAAGGAATCTGACCATAACTGGACCAAAGAAATACCATATAACTAGAATTGCTGGGATTAAAGCAGGAGACTTGCTCATTTTTCCTGGTGAGGTCAGAAATCCCTGTTAAATTTCCTGGAGACTCGAGTACTTATCTATGACCTTTAATTCCAGCTGCACAGGCAGAACAGCTCTCATTAGCAAGAAGGATAGAGTAAACCGTAATTGAATTATCTGTATACTACAACTAGCTGATCAGACACTAAATGAACATCCTACTATATGCCAGGCAATGTGCTAGGCACCTACATATCTACTATCCCATGATAGTTTGTGGCTACACAGATTTTGAGGAAAAAGTTAGAAGAGTTAGAGAAGACATAGAAATGAAGTTAGCAAAATTAATGTGAGTAATAAAATTGGCTCAAGAATCTCCAAATTGACTTACCTGAGCAAAACACTCCATAGATCCAATCAAGAAAATCAAGTCCTTTACCAGATCTGATACCCTCATCCGAAATTCCCCAAAGTCATCCGTCTCTTCAGGAACCCCCTCCTGAAATTTCAAATGGAACAAATTTGTTTTAAAGTCACTGAGCCTTTCAATGATCCTTTAAGATCAGTAGATGAAAAAGACATTAAACAGCCAAGTCACAATGAAACAAAGCTGAAATCACAAGGCTATTTTACCCTGATAGAGGGTCTCCCGAACTACATGTCTAATCAACACAACCTGTTCTCTGCTTTCCTATGAGAAGCTCTTCAGTTTGTGTGGGTGTGAGTATGTGTATTTATTTTTGGAAAAGCATAGGGTGAAAAGTGATTGGGAAGCAGTAAAAGTTACAAGCATAGGTTTGTAAGGTCAGTTCTTTAATCATCAAGAAACCTGTAAAGGTTTATTGTTCAAGATCTTAAAAAAAACACAAAAGACAAAAAAAAACAATTATCACAGTAACTTTGTAAAGAAAATTAAATTTTAGGCTTTAAATTCTTCCTATCCCAGCACACTTCAATTAATTTTGAGATGGTTAAAGGTGTCTATGAAATATTGGCCTATGTATCCCCAGGAAAAGCCCTTAGTATCACTGAGAACTGCTCATCTAGGTGAGCCTCCTTGTTTTAAGATGAAGAAAGTAAGATGGAAGAATAATGAGGAAATGATGGCTTTCTCAGGTGAAATAATGATTCAAATTATCAAGTACTATACACTTTCAAGTGCAAGAAAATATTGTTGTAAGGGAGATGGTGCCACTGAACTAGCCAAGAGAAGAGAATCAAGTCAGTATTATAAACATTTTAACCAGAGCAGCCCATGTGGGATCTTTCACTAAGATGTAGTTAAAACTAGGACTCCTGGGGCTGGAGAGATGACTCAGCGATTAGGAATCTTGACTGCTATTGGAGAAGACCCGGGTTCGATTCCTAGCACCTACATGAAGACTTACAACCATCTGTAACTCCAGTTCCAGGGAATCCAATGCCTTCTGGTCTCCAAGGGCACTGCACAACATGGGTACACTTATACACATGCAGGCAATACATTCATACACATAAAATAAAAATAACAAAAACATCTCATTCTCCAGGCGTGGTGGCACACGCCTTTAATCCCAGCACTCGGGAGGCAGAGGCAGGCGGATCTTTGTGAGTTCAAGGCCAGCCTGTTCTACATAGTGAGTTCCAGGACAGCTGGGGCTACAAGGAGACCCTGTCTCAAAAAGAGCAGGGGGGGAAAAAAAAAAAAAAATCACATTCAATTTTATGTCTCACAGAGTTGATGCTGAGTTCAATATTGTATAACTGTATTAATTCAACTGTGAACCCAAAATTTTTATAGTGACTTTTGAAAAAGATGTATCTTTGCTATGCATATTGTTATTATGTTAAAGCTGTAATGAAATGCTTCTTCTAAATATATATATATACATAATAATTTTATTTTATGTGTATGAGTGTATTGCCTGCATGTATGTGAGTGCACCCATGTCATGCAATGCTGTGAAGGTCAGAAGAGGGCTTTGGATTTCCCTGGAACTGGAGTTAAGGACAGTTTGTAGTCTCCATGTGGGTGCTGGGAATCGAACCTGGGTCCTCCACAAGAGTAGTCAGTGCTCTTAACCGCTGAGCCATCTCTCCAGCCCCATAAAATATTTTTTAAAAACTAGGACTCCTGGTTTTTTTTTTTTTTTATCTTTTTGAGACAGGATCTCCCTGTAGCCCCAGCTGGCCTGGAACTCGCTTTGTAGACCAGGCTGATCTTGAACTCACAGAGCTTCACCTGCCTCTGTTCCCAAGTGTTGGGATTAAAGGCATGCTCCACCATGCCTGGCCATACTCCTGTTTTTTAAAAAAGCTTTAAAATCATTACACTAAATTGTCACTAAGGTTCTACAGGAATTCAAAATGCCATGACTCAAACATATTACTAACATTAAAACTCAAACTACCTATCTACCTAATGCATCAGATTTAATTATAAGCAATTAAATTTACTCCAGGCCCAAGATTAAAGCCACTGGATGACAAACCAAAAGGATAAAATAAATGAAATTTAATTTAAAGAGACTTCAGCCAAGAATGGCAGTTGAAGAGTTCTCCAATGACCTATTTCATGTGTCTAATACATTTTCTTCTAAGCAAATCATTTCTATATTTTCTTTTTTTGGGGGGGGGTGTCTTTTGGAGACAGGGTCTCCCTATAGGCCCAGCTGGCCTTGAACTCACTATGTAGACCAGGTTGGCCTACATAGAGCCACAGAGATATGCCTGCCTCTGCCTCCCAAGTGTTGGGATCAAGGGTGTGCAATACCACACCTAGCCTCCACATTCTGATTTTTCACTCAGCATATCAGTTACTATTTCAGAAGCTGTTACTTTTATGGCTGCATAGTGGTTCATCAAGTTGCTATGTCACAATTTATGCCTTCTTATACTGTAGAGAGGTCTATCTTCTTCTACTTTCATATATTATGCTTTGCATAGAAGAATAGCTATTTTTCTCTTCTACAGGATCATTTATGGTAAATTCCTAGAATGATCACTGGCTCAGTAGGAGCAATTTCCCATGGGTCTTTATCATACTAGCAGTGACTTCTTTACTGTAAGCTACAGTGAAAAGAATGGAAGATTTTCTTCTTCTTTTTTTTTAGTTATTTTTATTTATTATTTTCATTTTATGTGTATGAGTGTATTGCCTGCATGTATGTGAAATGCACCCATGTCGTGCAATACTGCAGAGGTCAGAAGAGGGTGTCGGATTCCCCTGGAACTGGAGTTAAGGATGGTTTGTAGCCATGATGTGGGTGCTGGGAATCAAACCCAGGTCCTCTGCAAGAGCAGTCAGTGCTCTTAACCGCTGAGCCACCTCTCCAGCCCTAATGGAGCATTTTCTTAGCTCTATTCACTATCTTTTCAAATTAGGACTGAAAGTTGGAGGGAAAGATTTAAAGAAGTAGAGAAGGAACTTACATGGTCTGGTTCTAACTGGCAGTGTCGAGCCAAGGCATGAAGCAGCCTCTGAATGTATGCTTTGAAGATTCCATGGATGACCTCATCGTTGGTTTTATACAAATGTTCTCCTAGTCGGTACCAAAAGTTAAAGGAAATTTCTACTACCTGTCAGGATAAGAAGAGGGATGGTTTACTTGTATAGAAATAGAACAGTAAGGAGACAGTTTAATTATTATTAGCACTACACAGGGAAGAAGATGCATTATTCCATAATGTGTGTACAGCTAGTTAAGAAGCTGCCTTTTCTATAATATTACAGATTACTGTATTTTCCTCCTAAATATCTTGTCATGTTATACTCTAAAGTCCACTTGGATGACTGGTTACATTCTCTATTTGCACCTGGGGTAACTTTTCTCAAAATACTTTGAGATTCTAAATCTTACAAAGAAGTATAAGTCTAATTCTGGAATATTTCATTATGCTGGTATCAGATTTCTTATCAGGAAAGCCATCTATAATTCCCTTAACATGACTTCTTTTTTTTTTTTTTTATTTTTTTTTGGGGGGGGGTCTTTTTTGAGACAGGGTCTCCCTGTAACCCCAGCTGTCCTAGCACTCACTATGCAGACCAGGCTGGCCTTGACCTCAGAGATCCACCTGCCTCTGCCTCCTGACTGCTGGGATTAAAGGTGAACTTATTTTTTATCTCATGCCCCGCCACCTTTTTTTTTTTTTTTTTTTGAGACAGTGCTTTGTAAAGCCAAGTCTGCCTTGAAACTCACTGTGAGGGTGACAATGCCTCCGCCTTCCAAGTGCTGGGATTATAGTCATGAACCACCATGTCCAGTCCTCAATGGACTATTTTCGTGAATACTAATGATGGCAGAAAAAGAGCACTACTTGTAAGAGTGACTGCTATTGTGTAGTGTTACATATCTTCCAAAAATGTTTTGGGTTTTACCCAACTCTAGATATTCTCAGGAGATTATGTAAGACAAATAAACATTAGCTGTTATTTGGTAAAAGAAAAAAGGGTAGCGAGGGGCTGGAGAGATGTCTCAGTGGTTAAGAGCACTTGCTGCTCTTACAGAGGACCCGGGTTCGATTCCCAGCACCCACATGGCAGCTAACAACTGTCTGTAACTCCAGTTCTAGGGGACTCCAATGCCTTCTTTTGATTCTGTGGCACTGCATGATACAGGTGCACCTACACATACGCAGGGAACACACTCATAAAATGAAAATAATTTTTTTTTTAAACAAAAAGAAAGAACACAGCCTGAGAACACCTGGATCTGGCCTCTGCCTGGTGCAGGGGCTGAGAACACAGCAGACTGTCTGAGAGTACTTGGATCTGGCCTCAGCCTGGTGTAGGGCCTGAGACCTCAGCAGACTGCTTGAGAGTACCTGGATCTGGCCTCGGCAAGGTGGTGAGCTTCCCCAAATTGCTGCTCTTTTCTCAATAGCTAAGAGATGGAAGCAACCTAAGTGCCCATCAACTGACGAGTGGCTAGCGAAAATGTGGCATATTTGCACAATGGAGCTCTACTCAGCAGTAAAGAAAGAAAGATGAAATAATGAAATTTGCAGGTAAATGGATGGATCTAGAGACTGTTATACTAAGTGAAGTAACATAGACTTAGAAAAACAAAAGATATATGTTCTTCCTCATTTGTGGATCCTAGCACCAAATCCTTATAAGTGAGTGCATATCCTGATTGACTGCAGGAACCAGGAAAATGGAAGGAAACCAGGTAGGTAAAGGGAAAGAAGGAACCTGAGAGAGGAGAATAGGAGACAGGCGTCTAAGAGAGAAATGTGTAAAAAGGGAGTAGTTAAAGGGGAGAAGGAGAAGGAGGGCTATACAAAAAACTATGGGAATAAAGGGGAGGATGGGGCTCAAAAGAGGTGAGACCATAGCATACAAAAAGTATAAAGGGAGAAATGGGGAAAACGGGGATACTTTAAATGGGAAGGACAGGGAGGGAGGATAAAACAGGGAGAAAAAGAGGAGAGATAAATACTGCCTAGCTAGTATAAAAAACCAGAGGGAATTGTATTAGTCCAAAAACCAACTGAGTCCATGAGTATAGCTGAAGCTACATAACAAGAAACAGTGCTAGACAGGAGAAACCTTCCTTTGAGTTGTTGGCCAGGGTATCCAAGAGACTCCCAAAATTACACAGGCTATTGCCACAGTCCTTGATTGTCTCCCAGAACTTGACGGTAAGACCCTATTGCTGAAGACAGAACATACTTTGGACTCAGGATTTGGAGCAACAGAGCTGGAACTGAGCTGGAAGCCACCTCCCCTGAAGGCGACCTCTCATAGCTTTGGAGAACACTATACAAGCTGATAAGGGAGAACATCAATCAATGATCCAACTCTAGCTTCAAGGCCTAAAAACTACATCAATGACCAGCATAGCAAACGACATTGGTACAGTAGAGGCACTTTTATCTTGGGGGTAACCAACAGTTACCTAATTGGACTTAAAGCCCATTCGATGGGAGAAAATTCATGTCTGGTACTATAAACCTAGCCAAATACTCATAGCTGGAGAGATCATAGATCTTAGAGCAAACCCCAAGGCTCTCATATCCCTAGACTAATGTAATTTCTTACTATGTGAAAAATATGAATCCTTAAATTTATAGACAAGTATCCCAGTTACCACCCATTGAAGTAGCTTCTTTTTCAACAGACAGAAATTATTAGTTACACCACTGGTCACACACAGAGATTCTCTGTGAATTACCCAAGCCTAAGTGGCACATGTAGGATGCAACCTCTACATCTAAGACTCATGGAACATAGAAAAGGGATGAAGAGAATACTAATGTATCTTTCAATTCCCATCAATAAAGCTCCCTCATGCAACAGAGGGCCAACAAGACAAAAGGTCACAAATCAAAAAGCAGAGAACAAGAGTTGGCAGAGTGAGAGTCCTCGGACAAGACTTCTATATTGAGGTCCACCCTCCCAGGGCTCAGGGACCATTATTGCAGAAGAGGGGGCAGAAAGATTATAAGAGCCAGGGAGGAGGTGCATGACCACACGGAAATAGTCCCACAGACGCCTGGGACCCTTCTCATACAAACCTACAGCAATGGTGTCAGTATGCACAAGACCCATGCAAACATAAGCAGACAAAAACCCAGCACAGAACTGTGGAAATGTACAGCAAGCTCCAGTCTTAGTCAAAGAATTATTGGCAGCTGATTACTGCTGGGTGAGGAGAACTGTTCTTCTTGAAGGAGGGACTCTAGATAGGCTGACTAAACCCTGGTGGATGAACTTGCACTGAGGGACATCTTGGGATGCTAACTTTACATAAGAGGACTTAATATAAATGACAGAATGTATGAACTCCAGTGGGGGCGGGGGCTATGGGAAGGTGCCAAAGGGGAAGGGGGTATAAAGATGATTTTATATATGAAATACACACACACACACACAAACACACACACACAAATCAATAAAAAAATTTTTAAAAAGAAAAAGGATAGAGAATTACAAGACTACTTTGTCTAAGAGTAAGCATAGGAAGAGGAGCCTTGCTGTTCTTTTCCCATCAAATATCCAGTATAAAGAATACAGCTGTTTAAAACTATGCCCAGTCCAAGAGCACTTCTTAAATTATAAATAGGATGTAAAATGTCCAAATAAATGAAGAAACTTCTAAAATTTAGGAAATTTAGAGCTGAGTATAATGGCACATGCCTGTTATCTCACTCAGTCCTTGGGAGGTAGAGACAGGATCCTGAATCAGGAGTCTGAAGCCTGTCTGCCAGACTCAGCAACATACCTGGTCTAAAAACCAAACAAACCTAAGGGCTAGGGATATATATATATATCTTGATGATACAGCACTTGTCTAACACGTGAAAGGCCCTGATTGATCACCAGCACCACAAAGGGGGAACGGGTAAGGAAGACTAAGGTGTATGAAAGATTATTGCTTTTATAAATATAGTGGCTCAGTATGTAGCCCAGGCTAGCCTGGAACTCACAATATAACCCATGCTGGTCTCAAACTCATGATCCTTTGTCTCAGCCTCCATGTGACAGGGTCTCAGATCCATGCCACCATATCTACTGTTAAAGATTTTTTAAAAGAAGGAAATTCTTAAGTCTGAAATCTTTTTCTTCTTGGTATCCCTCATTTTAAAAATTTAAGACATGAAGACTCTTGGAGGCAGTCATGAATTGTTATGTCCTAGAATTCAGATCATGAATGCCTGAAGGTTCATGTGTTGTCGACTGTGCCCAGCCTGTGGTTTCACTGGTGGCAGAAACTTTAGGAGGCTGGTTAGTATAAAGATGTTACATCACTGGGAGTATTCTAGGAATATCGGATCCCTAACCTCTCCTTTTCTTCTCTCTTATATACCCAGCCAATTTGAGTAAAATAGGCTTCTTCTCCCCTGCACTCTTCATGGGGCTAAGTCCAATGGATCATGAATGAAAATATCTAAAACTGTGAGCTTGAAAAGAAAAATCTTTCCTTTCTTTAAGTTAATTATATCTAGTAATTAGTTTCACTAATGGAAAGCTGACTAACACAGTGTGGCCTTGTTTTTGTTTTATTTCCTAACAGATTCTTTGAGTTGACTGTAATAGTCAACTCAAATAACCACGTAAAAAACTACAAGAGAATTCAAAACAGAAACCCAAACACAATTTCTAAAAATATTCCAACACAGGGCCAGTGAGATGGTTCACTGGGTAAAGTTGCTTGCTCAGGCCTAGGTACCTGAGTTCAGTCTCTGGAAGCCAATTAAAAGTGAAAGGAGAGAGTCAGTTCCACTAAGTTGTCCTTTGACTTCCACACCAACAACATATACTCACACTCAGAAATAATAAAATAAATTTACAGAGGACTGGGGCTGGATTCCCAGCACCCGCATGGCAGCTAACAAACATTTTGTAACTCCACTTCCAGGGAATTCAACACCCTTTTCTGACCTCTGTGGGCACTGCACGACACAGGTGCACTTACACACATGTAGGCAATACACTCATACACATAAAAGGCAATGCAATATGCTATATACAACTTGGAGGATAACAGCCTTAGCACAGTGTAGATACTACCTCATATTGAGGATGCCCTGCACAGATAAGCAGCAGTTCCAAAGTTCGAAGGTCTCCTAGACCTTGGCCTGGAGTACAAACAATTTTTTCAAGGAAAGTTTCACATAGTTCAGTGAAGATACGGCAGTAATTCAGAACTCTGTAGGAGGAGGAATGAGAGCACCAAGTCAGGAATCCACACCACAAGTCAAATAAACACCAGGCTTCTCGCCTGAGGGACATTCAGTGAATACTCATCATGCTGCATCACATCTCTATAGTAAACTTGGATTGTTTACTTCTCTACAGATAAACACGTGACTTGTAAGTCTTATTACTAACACTGAATAAAAACTCCAAATTAAATAATATTTTTAAAAATTATTTTTAAGGGTTTTCAAAAAATTATATATATGTGTATGGGTCTGTGCATGTGTGAGTACAGATACCCAAGGAGTCCAGAAAAAAACACTGAATCCCCTGGAGCTGGGGTTATAGGCAGTTGTGAGCCACCTAACGTGGGTACTGGGAAACAAAGTCTCGTTCTTAACCACTGAGCCACCTCTCCAGACCCTAAACTAGGTATTTTAAAGGTTATTCCTTATTCTTAAAGTCTTCTCATTTTAAGTGTAAGAAATCAGAACAATCTAGAACTGGCAGCAATCCTCTCTCCTTTCTCCTGGGTCCAATCTGTCACTCTAGAGTCAGGACCCTAATAAAGCAGCCATAGCATGCACCTTTTATATTTATGGTTGAAGAAGCAAAAACAATGGATAAGTTATTTTTTAAAAGTGACTTAAAAGGACATTAAACTGTAGATAACCCAGGCTCCAGTCTTAATAATTACTTACTTGTCCAAATCTTCCCGTGCCACAGCCATGTGATAAGCAGTCTCCAACGTCAGGACTCCCTGAAAAAGCTGCATGGCTAATGGCAAGTTAGTCTCCACATTCTCAATAGCATAAAGAGCTGAGCACACACAGTCTGAAGCAGCTTCATGAAGGTTGGATGAGGTCTTATCCTGTTGCTGGAAGACAGAAGAACACAGAACCAAACATTATGATCATCACAGTCCAACTATAGCCTTCTTCTGAAAATGGTTTTTGTTTATTTTATGAGAAGGTTCTCATGTAGCCCAGGCTGGACGCAAACTCACTATGTAGTGAAGGCTAGCCTTAACTCCTGCTCCTCCTGCCTCTACCTCCCATGTGCTAGGATTACAGGAACGTACCACCAAGCAGGTATATATTCCCATGCCTGGCTGAGAACATACTCTAAATGTGTCAACAGCCCAGTAGATGTGGACTTCCACAAGACACTCTTTTTTGGGGGGTGGGGGGAGTCTCCCTGTAGGCCCAGCTAGGCTGGAACTCACTATGTAGACCAGGCTATCCTTGAACTCAGAGATTCACCTGCCTCTGCCTCCCGAGTGCTGGGATTAAAGGTGCGAACCACCACTCTTTTGATCTACCTGCTTTTAGTTCCCAACAGACCAAGAAAATGAACCTTCAACCTTGAAGTCCTTATGCAGTCACTTTTTTTTTTTCCTTTTTCTTTTCTTCCTTTCTTTTCTTTTTTTTTTTTTGTCTTTTTTGAGATAGGGTCTCCTTATAGCCCCAGCTGTCCTGGAACTCATTATGTAGATCAGGCTGGCCTTGAACTCACAAAGATCCACCCGCCTCTGCCTCCCAAGTGCTGGGATTAAAGGCATGCACCACCACGCCCGGCTCTTTTTCTTTTTTTAAATGGCATAGTCTTACTCTATAGCTCAAACATTCCTGGAAGTCACAGCAATCTGCCTGCCTCAGACTCCAGAGCACTGGGATCACAGGCATGAGCAACCATGTCTGGTAGAGTTACATGATCTTATTATCTTCATGTCTCTGTTGATACCACTCCTTCCCAGAATGTCAAGTTTCTTCTCTAGTTTAATCTAAAAATCTTTTCCACTCTCTTGTAATACTTAAGTACTATCTAAAATGACAGGGCCCAGTAACTCCAAAAGGCCCTTACATATCAAAGTGAAATCTCATAACTAAACAGAGGCTCTTAAAGCTTCTTTGGAAAAGAAGGGAGGTGACCTAGGGAGGAGCAAATTCTCCCAATTTCTCATTTACAATGATGCATGCTAATAATGAAAAACAAGCTTTCAAAATCCTGAAGGAAAATAATAATGCATGTAAAACTCTGTACCTAGACAACTCATCAATCAAGAATGAAAACAGCATTATTTCTTGCTAGGTACCATGGTGCAATCTATAATTCAAGCACCTGGAAGTATGAGGCTGTTGACTGTTACAAGTTTGAGGCCAGCCTGGGATACAGTGAGTTGCAGGCCAGCCTACAAAGGACGACCATACTGTTAAAAAAGGAAAAAAAAAAAGGAAAAATGACCCAGTGGCTAAAGGCAATTGTCACCAAGCCTGGCGACCTGAGTTTGATCCCTGGGACCCACATGGTGGAGAAAACAAATCCTTGCAAATTGTCCTCTGACCTCCCCAATACGTAAGTTTTTAAAAATGCAATTTTAAAAGAAGTTGTAGTGGCACACAACCCCTTCACATGGGTGGTGGAGGCAAGAGTTCAAGTTCTTCTGTGATTACATAGTGGGTTCAAGGCCAAATTCTATCTTAAAACAGTAACAACATAAAAGCATTTCTTGGGCATGCAAAAAACTCCAAATTGACTTTGTGTATATTTTCTTTGGAAATTACCTAAGGAAGTTAAAAAAATTAGTTAATCAAGCCAAAAAGCATGTTAAAAGGGAAATCTAAGAATCATAACTGAGGAAAAATCTAAAGAATAACTGATGACTTAAAGCATGTCAGAGGGTCCAAGGAGGAGGCAGCATGGTAGCACAAGCCCAGAAGTGAGAGCAGAAGGATCTGGAATTTGAGGCTAACCTAAGCCTAGACAGTGGGGGGCTAGCCTGCTACATAGTAGGATTCTATGTTAAAAACCACAACAAAAAGCCGAGTGTGGTGGTGCATGCCTTTAATCCAAGCACTTGGGAGCCAGAGAGGCAGGTAGAGCTTTGTGAGTTCAAGGCCAGCCTGGTCTACATAGTGAGTTCCAGGTCAGCTGAGACTACAGGGAAACCCTGTCTCAAAATCAAAAACAAAAACAACCACAACAAAAAGTCCAAAGAAGTAAGCTCTAGGGTCCTGATTTACCACTACGGTTAAGAGCTTCTGTAAATTTAGTGAAGGCATCGCTCTTCATTCTCTAGGGCTGGAGAGATGGCTCAGTGGTTAAGAGCACTGACTCTTACAGAGGACCAGGGTTCAATTCCCAGCACCCACACGGCAGCTAACAACCATCTGTAACTCTAGTTCTAGGGAATCAGATGCCTTCTTTTGACCGCCTTGGGCATTGCAGGACTTGGGTGCACTTCACACATGCAGACAATGACTCATACACCTAAATAAAAACAGTAAATAAAAACTATATAAAAAAAACCCTTCCTCCACTTAAAAAGAAGAAAAAGGTGGAGGGGGAAGGGAGGAGGAAGAGACATTTAGAGTTGTTCTACAAGGCAAAGAGCTACTTAAATAGGGTTAGTAGAGTGAACAGATGCAAACCATCCCATTAGGTTGTTTTGTAAGACAGATATCACTTAGTTTAATCATGCTTCAAACTTGCCATGTAGCTAAGGTTAATTTCAAACTCCTGATCCTCTGTCTCCACCTCTCATGTGCTGGGATTATAGAAATGTGCCATCATGCTCAGCTTATTATGTTATCCTTTTATTTATTTTTTAAAGGGGAAGGAGATTATTTTATTGTTTGTGTCTATGAGCACATGCCCACAGAGAAAATATATCATAGGATTCCCTGGAGCTGAAATTACAAGCAGTTGTGAGCTGCCCAATGTAAGTGCTGGGAACCCAACTCAAGTTCTCTGGAAGAACGGCAAGGTCTTACTCATTGCATCAAGCCATCTCTCCAGGCCCCTAAACAGGCTATCCTGAAGGCAAGGAAAAAATTCTCTCAATCAAAATGAAAACCACTGGCATGTCCAGAAGGCTAGTTGTTAAAAGTGGCAGTGGCAGGGCTGGAGAGATAGCTCAGCAGTTAAGAGTACTTCCAGAGGACCCAGATTCAGTTCCCAGCACCCACATGGCAGCTAACAACTATTAGTAATTCACGGTCCAGAGGACCTGACACTCTCTTTTGGCTTCTGTGGACATTGCATGCATAGGTGCACTTACATACATGCAGGTAAAACACATTCATACACATAAAATAAAATAAATTTAATTTTTTTAAAAAGTGGCAATGGCAGAATAGTTTGAGATAAAGCCATTACTTACCAAGACCTCAAAAAGGAGTGCTAGTAATTTATTGTTAGCCATGAAGTTACTGTCCAAAACGCCCAAGTTAAACCAACTCCCCAAACAGCGAAAGACTTTCATAAGCATTTTCTCATCTGTTCCCGCTTTTTCTACACAAGTCATCTGAACAGAAGAAAAATATAGTTAAAAAACACCAATCTTTATATGTAAGCCACTAGTATAATCACCATGCATGTATAATAATAAGGACATCAATAGCAACCACCAATGAGAAGTTCTTTTTAAGTGTCACTGTTCTAAATATTATTAATCCACAGGTGTTATCTTCTAGCTTTTAATGAGGAAACTGACATACTGAGAGACTAAAGATTTACCCAAAAATAGACATTTGTTAAAAAAAAATCTAGATTTCTTAGTTCCTGCTTCTGCATTAATGTACTCTTATCAATACAACTGTTTTTAAAGTGATATTTACTTATATAAAGTACCACACAAAAAGTCAAGCATGGTGGTGCTTACCCACACAACCAGACAGGAGGATCTCTTAGGCTAGCTAGTCTAGCTAAAATGATGAGCTCAAGGTTTAGTGTGAGAGCCTCTCTCAAAAAGATAGGTATATGGGATGGCAAGATGGTTCGGCAGGTAAAGGGACTTGCCACCATACCTGATGATCTAAGTTTGATCCCTGGAACCCTCAAAGTGGAAGAAGACTCACTCCTGCAATTGTCCTCTGATCTTCACAAATGTGCCATGACATAGGAAGTACACACAGTAAATGTTTTTTGTTTTTTTGTTTTGTTTAAAAAAAAAAAAAAAGAGGTGGAGAGTGATTGAGGAAGACACCCAACATTAATCTCTGGTCGCTATACAAATGTACACACACACGCACGTACACGTACACACACACACACACACACACACAAATTGGTGCCTGAATGCTCTAGCAAATATGTCATTCCACAGAAAGCAACACTACTAGTTGGGCCTGGTGACAAAGGCCTATAATCTCAGCACTGGAGAGGCTGAGGCAGGAAGGCTACCAATTTAAGGCTCATCTAGGTAACTTAGCAAGACACTCTCTCAAAAGCAAAAGTTTTTTAAAAGAGGGAGCAGGGTGTGCTAGGGATATAGAATATAACTTAGTACTAGAATACATGCTTAGTATGTGCAGAAACCAGGTTCAATTCCCACTACTATGAGAAAAAGGGACTTGAGTTTTTATCAAAGGCATAAAACTTAAGTCAAACTAAAACTCACCACTGCTTTGCTCTGAGGTTTTTGAACACCCCCCTCCCCCCGACCCCAAGACACACACCTTTTTTTAAGACAGGGATTCCTGTAACTGCTGGCCTGGAACTCGCTATGTAGATCAGGCAGGCCTCAATCTCAGAGCTTTACCCCCTCTGCCTCTGTGCTAGGATTAAAGACATGTACTACCACACCAGGCTTGTGCTATATTTTTACCAAAGTAAAATATGCAACTTTTTCTAGATAAAGAATATTTCAAGACAGCATTACAGGCAGCAGGTTAGAACTATCATAATTGTCATGGGGTTTGGGAGGCTTGAAGAAGGAAGTAGGACACATCAAAATGTACTAGAAAACTAGAGATCTAAAATCTGGCACTTGAACTTCCAAAGTCAGTTGCATTATCAGGCAATAATGGCTCTTGAGTCATTGATTATAATCAATTGATATAAATTTTAAAAAATAATTAAAGGGCTGGAGAGATGGCTCAACATTTAATAGCACTGATTGCTCTTGTAGAGGACAGAGGTTCCATTCTCAGCACCCACATGTTGGCTAACTGACCATGACACCAATTCCAAGGGATCCAATGCCCTCTACTGACCACTGTAGGCACTGTATAACACAGACACACTTACAAACATGCAGGCAATACACTCATAAAATAATAAATAAAAATTTTTTTAAAAAGATTTAAAACGGGAAGCAACCACAGTCTGAAGATTGAGCCACCATGCCTGGCAGGTTAGGATTTTTTTATTCTGGATTTATTTATTTATTATTTATTTACATTGCAGATATAAACTACACAGGAAAATCCTCCAGACTCAAAGCTTCATCTTTCCTACAATCTGCACTGATGGCAGGAGTTTTTTTTTGTTCTTGTTTGTTTTTCTTTGGTGCTGCAAATTGAATTCAGGGACTGGCCCATGCTGGGTAAGTACTCTAGCAATAAGCTAGGCATCCCCAGTTCTGATGACTGATTTTATTACTATTCTCCAAGCAGGGATAGACTGCTTGCAAAGACAAAGAGAAGTGAAAGTTTAACATGTTACTGTATACTACTTGATTCCCATAGAACAACATTAACAGACTAAGATCTGGATGTTATCAAAAGACTAAATTTTTTTTGGGGGGTGGGGATAATATCTTTCTATATGGCCCAGACTGGTCTGAAACTCATGATCCTCACAAGTGTTGGGATTACAGGTGTGTGCCATCAGATCCAGCAAAAACACTGATTTTGCTGGGTGTGGTGGTATATGTCTTTAATCACAGCACTGAGGAGGCAAAGGCAGGTGGATCTCTGTGAGATCAAGGTCAGTCTGGTTTATATACAGGGAGAATGAGTCTCAAAAAGAGAGAAAAGTTTTAAGTATTCTATCATGTACAACTTAGTATCTAAGCCTGATGCCTAACCAATTGCTTTTTAAAAAAAAACAAAAAATTGAAGCAGATTGAGCTTCAGGGGGTAGGATCAGTAGCATTAAGCATGTATAAAACTACTGAACTGAACACCAAAAAAGCCACCCCAAACTCACTTCTATTGGTTTTGTGTGTTGCAATGTATGTGCTTGTAGAAGGGTAGACTTACATAGCAAACTAGCAACTCACAAAGGAATAACCATGTGATCATGGTTATGCTCATGAGCTTATGCCTAGGATATTAATGACTTCTGAGAGGCATGTCATGTCAAACCACAACAGAGACATAGTAATCAATTATTTATGGAAGGACTGCAGAAAAAAGAACTGACAGTCCTTGCTTGAAGGAATAAAGTAGTTACAGAAGTTACCAGAAAGTTACCATGAGACATGAAATGCCAAAAAGCACAGTGGTACACACCTCAATCCCAGAAAGGCAGAAGCAGGGGATCTTTGTGAGATTGAAGCCAGTTTGGTCTACATAGGGAGTCCCAGGCCAGCTGGGGCTACAGGGAGACTCTGTCTCAAATAAAAAATAAAAATAAAAATTAAAAAAAAGAGAACTGTGATTGGTCAAAGCTTGAGTACTTCTAGTATGTATGAGGCCCTGGGTTCACTTCCAAATACCACAAAACAAAAACAGAGTCCAATGGTATTCCAAAAAAACTGTTTGTAAAAATATGCAGCCAGTCATATATACCAAATTTACCTACCCCCTGATCTAAACTGTTATCTGGTATTAGCTAATGTATAACTAATATTGGTCAGCAGTCAAGTAAAGTCTTCAACTATCTCTTTGTCAAAATTTCAACTTTTCTTTATCTTTTTCCTAATAAAGTAAATTTACATACATTTCCTTTAACATGGTCCATGAGCCAATACCTTATAACATAAAATAATAGAAAAATATAGGATATCTCTATCAGAAGAATTGAATTTAAGTTCAAATTAATAGTTCCATAACATTAAAGCCTGTTTTAATTCATAGAACAGAGGTATCATCACCCTGATGGGACTATACAGATGCTCAAGAAGTACTAATGTAAAAAGTATATTGTGGGGGCTGGAGAGATGGCTCAGTGGTTAAGAACACTGGTTGTTCTTGCGGAAAGACCTGGGTTTGAATCCCAGCACCCACATGGCAATTAACAACTGTCCATAACTCCAGTTTCAGGGGATCCGACAGCCTCTGTCCTCTGTGGGCATTGCACGACACGGATGCACTTACCTACATGCAGGCAATACATGCATACACTTAAATCTATAACTCCACTCCCAGGAAATATGACGCCCTCTTCCAACCTCCATGGGCATTGCACAACACAGGTGCACTTACACACATGCTAGCAATACACTTATAAATTAAAAAATAAAAATAATAAATATTTAAAAAGTATTTTGTACGACAGAAGTGTTCAATAAATGCCAAAATAGTATCACTGCCAAATTTGCAAAGAAAGCTATTTCATAATTATGCAACTAGATTACAAAACCACCACACCATGATTTCTGCCCTTAGTTAGTAAATGACTATTTCAAACTTACCAATAAAGATACCACTGTACTTGAGTAGAAGGCCAAATCTTCTATGATTTCTGTGCGCCTATTAGCTCCAATTCGTAAGGAACGACTGTGGACTTCTTCAGGTAACACTGTAAGGATCTCCAGCAAAAAAGGTAAGGAAGTTACATCATTGCTATATCTGGAAAAGAAATGGGGAAAGAAGTATCATGAGTTACTGAGAGCCAGAAAATATACAATCACAAATGCTAATGGGCAGGAGAGATGGCTCAGAAGTTAAGAGCACTGGCTATACTTCCAGAGGGCCTAAGTTCCATTCCCAGCATCCACATGGTGGCCAACACCATCCATAACTCCAGTTCCAGGGGATCGAAAGCCCTCTTCTGGCCTCTGTGGGCACTGCATACACAGGTGTACTTACATACATACAGGCAAGACAGACATAGACATACACACAAACATATCCCCCCAAAATAAACAAACCCATACACCTATAAAACAAATGTTAGCCATCAGAATAGCCCAGAACAATAACTATCAAGGGGAAAAAAAGACATAATCTTTGTTTTGTGCTATTTTTTTGATGTAGGGTCTCATATAGTCCCCCAATTTGCTATGTAGCTTTCAGAAGGAAAATAGCAAAGAAAGAAAGGTGGGTAGGGAACAGGGAGGAAAAGAATTTAATTTTTTAAACATATCTATTTTATTGTATATATTAGGATACATATAATAAAAAAGCTTTGCTAACTTGGCTGAACGCTGTATTATATCATTAGCCTCCAGTATCCAACACCAATATCATCCTGACTCTGTAGGCCAAACAATCATCATACTATTGACTCAATTTAGAAGATAATCAGCAAGTCCATGAGGCCTATGTTGTGAGTTTATACTATAAAGAATAAGATCATACATTAAACATATGTACACACATACACACTTTTTTATATGTATATTACCTACATGTATGTTAAGTGCATCTGTGTTTGTGGAGGTCAGAAAAGGGCATCAGATCCCCTAGAACTAGAGTTATGGATGGTTGATAGCTGCCATGTGGGTGCTGGGATCTGAGCCCTGATCTTCTTTAAGTGCAGCCAGTGCTCTTAACTGCTGAGCCATCTCTCCAGCCCCACACTTTGAGACAGGGTCTATATAGCCCTGTCTTGGAACTCACTATATAGACCAGGCTGGCTAGGAGTTCAGAGATCTGCCTTCCTCTGCCTCCTGAGTGCTGGGATTAAACTATCCCCCAGTTATATTTATTTTTTGAACCTGAGTAATAATGGCATTTTAGCCTTGTTAATAAAACCTTATTTAAAAAAAAGCTGACCATGATGTTTTAAGCAAAATAGACACCGTATGAAACACACTAAATATGGTTAACAAATACACAGGCATATTTTAATTAACACTTAAAGAAAACCAAAGAGGGCTATATAGCTAACCATTAACAGTGGTTACATAAAATATGAGAGTGCTTACTTTGTACTTTCAAATTTCTATAGTGTTTCAAGAGGCGTCTGTTATTTTCTTTAAAATTTCCCCTGGCCAGGCATAATTGCACACACCGTTAATCCTAGCACTTGAGAGGTAAAGGCAGGTAAATCTTTGTGAGATAAAGGCCAGCCTGGGCTACATAGCCAGTCCCAGGCCTGCTGGTGCTACAAAAAGACCTTGTTGCAAAAAAATTTTTTTCCTTAAGAAAAAAATAAAACAACTACTGCTGGGCATGGTGGCCGATGCTTAGTCCCAGCACTTGGGAGGCAGAGGCAGGCGGATCTCTGTGAGTTTGAGACCAGCCTGATCTCCATAGTGAATCCAGGCCAGCTGTGGATACAGGGAAACCCTGTCTCAAAAAGATACCCCCTACCAAAAAAAAACAAAAACAAACAAAACCCTAAACTATCCGTAAGGGCTTAAGCCTATCCACTGGAGATTTTAAAAACACATTCAGAGCTAAAAAGATGGCTCAGCAGTTAAGAGCACATACTGCTCTTGCAGAAAACCCCACTCAATCAATTCCCAGGAATTATATTGGGCAGCTCATAACCATCTGTAACTCCAGATGCAGGGGATCTGATGCCTCTCGTTTCTACGGAACCTGTACTCACACGCACATAGACACACACACACATACATACATAAAAATGTTTAAAAAGGCAATTTTTTTCAAAAAGATTTCTCAACCAAATGCTAAATGCAAGGAAATATTGAGATTATCAGGACTAGGGGTACAACTCAGTGGTTGTGCATTTGCCTTACACCAGGTCCTGGATTTGATCTCTTAATATCATAAGAATAAGAATAATAAAGATTATCTTCACTCCAAAATCAGGGGAACAAGAGAACAAGGAGCTGCAGGCTCCTTCAAGGAGCAGGAGCACAGGCAAAGTCCTATGTGCAGGAGTCACTGAATGCCAAACCTGACTGGTGGAAAGCTGGCTAACCTTGCACACCGCCATCTTCTTGTGGTTCTAGCTCAAACAAAATAATGAAATGACTTAAGAGTATCAAAGATGAAATGGATTAGAATATCCTGGAAATTCTAACATAAATATACTCCATATAACAATTCAAACAGTTTCTCCAATTCAATCTGCTGAATTAGGAAAGTGATACAAAAGTTACATGAATACGTGAAGTCAGCATTTGGGGTTTATATCATTAAATAAGTGATGGTTGTTAGCTGCCAGGTAGGTGCTGAGAATCAAACGTGGGTCCTCTGCAAGAACAGTCAGTGCTCTTAACCACTGAGCCATCTCTCCAGTCCCAACAATAAATTGTTTAAAAGTAGATTTACTTCTATTATCAACTTGAAATTTCTAATCAAAACACTTATTCTTCATCAAAGAGATAAAACTACTTTATTTTGGAGCGATACATGGTGGCACATGCCTATAATCTCAATACTCAGGAATTAGAGGGAAAAGGATATCTCTAAGTTCAAGGCCAGTGTGGTCTACATAGTGAGTTCTAGGCCACTCAGGGGCACAGAGTAAGACAGAACTTAAAAGAAAAAGGTGGAATGGGCTTGTCATTCCCATTACTTGAGGCTGAGGCAAGAGAATTGAAAGTTAAAGGCTAGCTGGGCAACTTAGTGAGATCTTGCTTCAAAATTAAAAAGAAAACAATAGGGGCTGGAGAGATGGCTCAGCAGTTAAGAGCACTGACTGCTCTTGAAGACTCAGGTTTGGTTCTCAGCACCCACACTGCAGCTCACAAACATTAGTAACTCTAGCTCCAGAGGATCTGATGGCCTTTTCTGGCCTCTGTGGGCATTACAGGACATGGGTGCATTTACATACATGCAGGCAAAAAAAACATTAAAAAAAAAAAAAAAGCAAAAAATTAAGAAACAAAATAAGTAAAAGTAAAAGAGAATGCTAAAGGTGTAGCTCAGTAGAGGACTTTCCTAGCAGGCACAAGGCCTGTGTGTGGAGTGCAGGGGTATATGGTCCCTCCCACAAACACAAAGCAAACCCAATTAGGAAAAACACATTCATAAGAACCTTCAATTTACTATAATCTTAAATACCATGGAAATTTTTTTCAAAATTGTTGATATTCTTCAGAGTGGCAGCAAATGTCTGAAATCCCAGCACTGGGAGATAGAGAGGAAGATAAAGAGTTCAAGGTCATCCTTAGCTACAAGTTTGAGGTCAACTCGAGCTACATTTGACCCTGTCTTAAAGGATGGACAGAAGGGAGGGGGCAAGGTAAAGAGGGAGAAAGGAGGGATAAAATCGTGACACTTTTATAGCCCATATTATATATTTTTGTAGTATTTAAATTTAAAATGATTTTCTTTAATAAAAATAAAATAAATAAAACTTGGGACTGACAAGATGGCTCAACATGTAAAGGTGTTTGCCACCAAACCCAATGACATGAATTCAATCCACAGAACTTATGTAGTGGAAGAAGAGAACTAACTCTTGCAAGTTGTCCTCTAATCTCTACAGGAGTGATGTGGTACATATATATCCCACCTTACCCCACCCCCTTTCTCACTCTAGAGAGTCTTTAAATTTGGGGGTGGTAATTATTATTTTAAAAATATTTTATTTATCATTTTTATGTCTATAAGTGTATTGTCTGCATATCTGTAAGTGTGGTGGAGATCAGAAGGAGTCGGATCCCCTGAAACTGGAATTACAGATGGTTTTTATTGGCCACATGGATTCAAACCAAGGTCCTCCACAAGAACAGCCAGTGCTCTTAACTGACGAGCTACATCTCCAGGCCCTTTGTTTTCATTTTACATACATGAATATTTTGCCTGCATGTATATAAGTGTTCCCATATCATGAAATGCCCATAGAGGCCAGAACACAGTGTTAGATCCTTGAAACTGAAGTTTGGGATGGTTGTTAGCCACCATGTGGGTACTGGGATGCCAACCTGGATCCACTGCAAGCTCAGCCAGTGCTCTTAACTGCCGAGCCATCTCTTTAGCTCTTGAGAGAGATTTTTTGATACAGGGTCTCACTAGCCTTGGCTAGCCTGGAACTCCTTATGTAGATCAAGCTAGCCTTGAAGTGCCCCCTGAGGGCTGAGATTAAAGGTGTGTACCACCACACTAACCTTTAAATAAATTAATTTTTTTAATTAAAAAATACAATTCTACGTCAATAGTTTAGGGAAATAATCAAATGTCTAGTACTAACAAGTATCTCTCTGTGTGGCTCAATGGTAATCCAAATGCTAATTCACTGTTGGTACAAATTACTTACTTTTCTACCAATGTTTGTACACATCCCTTCCAGGAAGGCATCTGTAGGGCAAGGTCTGCTATTGCTAAAGCCAGCTGAATAAGAAGAGAGATTAAGTAAATGAATAGACCAAACAGAAACAGAGTTATCATCGATGCTAATGGAGAGCAAAGAGACCAAATTTCTTCCAGATAATGATAATTAAGACTGACACCCCTTTTTTTCCTTCCCCCGCAAATAGGTATATATTTTCAAAACTAGCCACAAATTGCTTGGATTTAAAGATCAACCTAAAAAAATTATACTTTATATGTATGATACACCTATAAAAATTTCTTTTGTTTGGGCTGGAGATATGGCTCAGTGGTTAAGAGCACTGGCTGCTATTGTAGAGGACCTGGGTTGGGTTCTCAGCACCCACATGGCAGCTAACAACTGTCCACAACTCCAGTTCCAAGGGATCTGATACCCCTTTTTTGGCCTCCCCAGGAATTGTACACACATGATGCACTTACATGCATTCAGGTAAATACTCATACATATAAAACAAGAAATTTTCAATTTCTTTTGTTTTCTGAGACAGCAACTGATGTGTCTCAGGCTGGCCTTGAAATCCTATATAGCCAAGGATGAGCTTGAACTCCTGATCATCCTATTTCCATCTCCCAAGTTCTGGGATTATAAGATTAAACCACTATATGCTCATCTTAAAAACAATAAAATATATTCAAAATATAAAGACAGATTTTCTTTAGAATATATCAATACTTACTTTTATTTGGCAATACCATAGAACTTCATGGACAGATAAATTATACTCTGCCAAAAGGCCAAAGCTACTGACACAGTCAGACCTGTGACTCAGTCCTCAAGTAATGGATTGCCATTTCCCTTCTCTTTCCATTTCTCATCTTGAAGCCTTATCCAAAAGCCTCCTCTTCAAGAGCACTTCTATGCCAGGCAGAGAACACATGTATATATTCACGCAAGCTTCCAGCTTTGCTTTCTAATGTATTTCCCTGTCTAAAGGGGAAAGTTCTAGTTCACTGATTTATTTATGAGACTTTTTACTAGCCAAACCCCCCAGAAAGGATTTTTTTAAAAGCTAACTACATAGACCTCTGACCCAGCTAGCACAGAATTCTTAATTATTGCAATTAACAGTAGAGGCCACATGCTAGTGAAAACATACACTCACCTCCCCACTTCCAGTATTTAAGGTAGTATGAAACCTAATGACCTCAAAAAATCAATAACAAAAGATTAAAAATTTCATTTTCACACATTTATAAGATTATGGCAATGCATCTATAATAATGTTAACATTACTTTACATGGCCTATCAATATTAACCAAAATAATGCAATATATTCAAATGATCTTAGCGGTTTCTCTAGTGAGAAGTACAGGATTTACCTGTGTTACAATGACAGGCGACAAGTCTTTCAAGTTCTGAATATGAGTTAGCAATGAATCCCTTAAAGAGGCATGAGAGTCTGTGGGGAGCTCATAAAAGGAGGTCTGAATCTTCATTTTCATGGTCTGTGCAGCAAAATAGCATGATTCCACATCCTGTCGGATTTGTAACAACTGATCAGAAATCTCCCATGCATGAACCTGAAAGCAAACCAAAGATATCTTCAAGAATATTATTTTTCTAAATAATTTTAATGTCATACAACTTCAACAGATATAGTTAGGCTAAAATACAAAAAGAAAATTTTGACAAATTAAATTTAGTCTATGGGTCAAATTATATTGTAGTAAGCCCTGTTCAAGAAAAGTATTACCTAAGATCTCTGGTTTATTCTAGGACAACCCAAGACATAACAACTGAATTAATAGACATAATCTTGAAGATTAGAATCATTGTGTAGGGGGAGGTTTTGAAGAGAATGATGCAGAAGTTGCTACCAAAACTAAAATACCACTATAAAGCTTCTAACCCTACTTCTAAGGTGGGTGTTTCTTCTCTTTTCTCACTTAAAACATTTTCTTCACTTTGACACTTGAGTCTGGAAACTAATAAATCTATAAATAGGGGCTGAAGCGATGGCTCAGCAGTTAAGACCTTTTGCAGAGGACATGGGTTCAACTCTCAGCATCCACATAACAGCTAACAACCATCTACAACTTCGGTTCCAGGGGATCCAAACCCATCTTCTGACCTCCTTGGGCACTGCACAACACAGGTTCACTTACACACATGCAGGCAATATATGCATACACATAAAATAAAAAATTAAAATATAAAAAATAAAATAAATCTGTAAATAAGAAGGTGTACTCCATTCTAGTGGCTTATATTTCAATCTTTAGTACCTCGTAAAACAGCAGGAAAATATCTTGGTTCAAGTGACTATTTCATAGACGTCACTTATTTTCTTATATATTCTACACATGCTACTAAAATCATTTCTAAAGTTAGATTTCAAAGGATAATCTATAGACATAAAAAAGAACAAAAGCAAATAATCTGATCACTAATAGTCACAATTATAAAGGGGAATCCTATTTTGAACTTCAGTACAGAGGAGGCAACTGATTAATGATTGATAAATTCTAATCCAATTCTTCATCAAACTGCTTCCAAAAGACAAGGCTAAAATAGACAGGTAATAATAAACTGAAAAAGTTTCAGTTCAGGAATAGCACCAACTGTGAAGACAAGGAACCAGGTTCAATTCCCAGCACCCGCACGGTGGCTAAGAGTTGTCTGTAATTCTACTTCCAAAGGAATCAGGAGTTACTCTTCTGACCTCCAAGGGCATTGCATGACAAGGGTGCACTTATCTCTATGCAGGCAATATACTCATTCACATAAAATAATAAAATATTAAAAAATGTATGACAATCAAAAAGTAATTCAAAATTAAACACTGGGTGAATCCAAGGCATTTCTGGGAGTGATCCGATGTGTTAAAAAGCACAACTACCCTGGACCCTTTGTTCGAAACACACAATATGTGTGCATAGAGCATTCCTTCCCCACACAAGGCTGATGTATGCTGTCTAAAACACCTTGGCTCAGATTCCAGATTATTCTGTTATGAACTACAATGTTTTTACTATACATACAAAGGTTTTCTGCTCTTATGGGAACATGCTAGACTAATTGTGGAAAACGAAGTCTTTTTTAATATTTTCAAAGTTTTTTCCTATCACCATTTCTCAGTATGTATTCTAAGAATCCAATAAGCATAACTTTGGATTATATTGTGTTGGAATGTTTAATTTTTTGAAAAAAAATCACTGTTTTGAATCACTCATAAATTTTAGTAAGAAAATCATTAAATAAATTTTCCAACATTCACTGGCCATTCATTATCTGTCACTTAGTGGTAAGAGTGCTTATCTAGAATGCTTGAAGTTCAAATCCAAGTACTGACAAAATAAAAGAACAATTGAAGTCAAATGCCACACACAGGTCTGGAAGGATAAAACAGTGAAGAGCAGACCAGGAGAGACAGAAAATGCACCTTAATCTTTCAGGAGCCAAAAAGTATTTAAGAGAACAGAGTAATCTTTCTTAAAGTAGCAGAATTAGAATGAAACTGTCTAGAAATGAGGTAGAAACTTAGAATGAGAAATTTTTAAAAATCCCATTAGGCATGAACACTAGATGAAGTAGACAAGTATGACTATAAATATTTCAATTGATATCTTAATAAGAAAATTAAAGCCTGAGTGATTTTTTCCCTTTTTCCTTCTCCCTTCCCTTACCCTTCCTCTCTTCCTCCCTCCTTCCCTTCCTCCCTTCCTTCCTGTGTTTTTAAAATCAAAACAGAAAGACTGAAAAATGACTTAGGTATTTAAGTGACTACTATGGCTTTTCTCCCCATGGGTTCAAGTGTTAGAGGCTTGAATGGCAGGAAAAAAAAAATGGAACATGCCCTGCATCTAATGTTAAGAGGGGGTGGGACCTTTGGAGGTAGAAGAGTGAGGAGTATTTGACGGGAGGCTGTTACTTTTGTGGCTTCTTATCTTACTATGTGATCTGTCTCTTACACAATATTTCCCATGCAATCTCTCCTGCCATGAGGTCCTCACCAGACCCCAGCCAGTGGCAAAACCATGTCCTTAAATTTACAGAACTGTGAGCTGACCTGCGTTCCTTACAAAGGATCTGGCCTGAGATATTTGATTACAAGCAACAGAAAACAGACTAAGAGTAATGAATCTTAAGGCAAGGGTCTGATACACAGATGTTGGAGTCCCTTAAGAAACTTCAACAAGGAAACAAAACATTATCAAAATATAATTCAATGAAATGTTCTGAAAGTGGGAGGAAAATCCCATGAAACTATACATTGAAAAACACATCATATACCAGGGACAGTGACTCAGAACAAGGAAAGTCAGTCAGGACAATGAGAAGAGAAAATTTAGTAATATTAGTATACTTATTTTAGTGGCTATGCTTAGGGGATAGATTAAAGGTGCCATGATCTGAAGAGAGAAAAAAGGCTTCTCAGTGTTCTTCCTCCATATTAAAATGACTCAACAGAAATCACTGCCTATCACATTTGACACTATGTGACTTGAGATAAAACCCAAAAGTTGGGAGTGATGGATTTGTAAGGATTCTCCTTTCAGATACTTTAAACAGAAAGGAGTGCACTATATATCAGTGAAACCCTAATTATTAACACAAATGAACTTGGAAATGATTACCCAATCTATGCTGCTAAGACATCCATGTCTTCCAAAATTACTGAATTAAACAGTGATTTCTTCTCTAATATAGGGATAGATGCTGTATTTGTTATTAAATACACAGTTTTGCTAGGTGTGGTGGCACACGCCTTTAATCCCAGCAGAGGCAGGTGGACCTCTGTGAGTTCTAGGCCAGCCTGGTCTACATAGTGAGTTCCAGGCCAGCTGGGTCTACAGGGAGACCCTGTCTCGAAAAGACCAAAAAATAATATATATCTACATATATATGCATACATACACACACAGTTTTAAAAAATGAAAATAAAAACTTTTATCCCGTTTATACTGTTAAAAAAACTGACTTTTTTTTTTTTTTTTTAAACTGAAACACTTTATGGACACTTGTGGCTTTCTGGGTATTTCTTGCTTTCTGAGCCCAGGTCTCATTGTAGTCCAGGCTAGCCTTGAATCATGGCAATCTATTTACCTTAGCCTCCCAAATACTGGTATTAGGAAGTATGAACCATTGCACCCAGCTTAGTTTTCTACATTTCTGACTTCAACATTTCTGCCTCTTTAAATGTAGAGATTCTGTGTCTTTGGGGTTTTTGTTTTTATTTTTTGAGACAGGGTCTACTGTAGTCCTAGCTGGCCTGGAACTTGTTACATAGACCACCAGGCTGGCCTCAATCCTACAGTGATCCACCTGCCTCTGCATCCCAAGTGTTGGGATCAAAGGCATATACCACCAAATCTGGCAAAAGTAGAGATTTTAAAAATGAAAGCTGTAACCAAAACAAAAAAATAAATTGCCTTGGACAAATCAGTTAACTTGTGAGTAGGGATGTAGATCAGCAAATAAGAGGCAAAGAAATTTATTTTTCAAATCCCTTAAAGATGCTAGAGTATTTAAAAAAAAAAAATATATATATATATATATATCCATCCTTTGGATACAATGGACCATACCTGTAATACCAACACTTGGGAGGTTGAGGCAAGAAGATGAAGAATTCAAGGGTGGACAACTTAGTAAGAACTTGTGTCAAAACGTAATCCAAAAAGGGGAGGGCAAGATGGCTCAGCAGGTAAAGTGCTTGTGTAAGCCTAAATTCAATCCCCAGAATCCACAGAAAGACAGAAAGAGAGAACCAACACCGTAAGATTGTCCTTTGACCTCCACTCTTTATACATACACACTAATAACAAATTTTTAAAAATAAAAAGGGAGTGTCAAGAGAGCCCCACTCTTAGCATCAAAGAAACATAGGAGGGTTCCTGAAACCCTGTAAAAGCTGTCTTTTACCAAATAGAAAATAAATTCAAACAGCCAGAAAAAATGATCCAGATTTTACTGTAAGATTCTTTTTGTAAATTTGTTTAAACGAAGTAGTGAGGCTTTTCAAAAGCACGCAATGAGGGCTGAGAGGTAGCTCAGCAGTAAAGAGCACTGGCTGTTCTTGCAGAAGACCTGGGTTCAATTCCTAGAACATACATGATGGCTAAAAGCTATCCTAACTTTAATTCCAAAATATCTGACACCCTCTTCTGACCTTCATGGGCCACTGCACAACATGGGCACACTTACACACATGCAGGCAACACACTCATACACATAAAATAAATAAAATTTAAAGAATAAAAGCATACTGGGGCTGGAGAGATGGCTCAGTGGTTAAGAACACTGACTGTTCTTGCAGAAGACCCGGATTTGAATCCCAGCACCCACATGGCAGTTAACAACTGTCCGTAACTCCAGTTCCAGGGGATCTGACAGTCTCTTCTGTTCTCTGCAGGCATTGTACAACACAGGTGCACTTACTTACATGCAGGCAATACACACATACTCATAAAAGTAAATAAAATATTAAAAAAAATAAAAGCACATCAGTGGTTAGCTTTATGCCCTTTACACTCCCTAAATCACCCTACAGTATTTCAAAGCATTTATCATGCATTTCAACTTTATTAGAACAGACTACTACCAATTTCCCAGCCAAAAGCAACCAGAAAAGCTCAAATACCCAAAAGAAGATCCTTATCAGACCACAGATCAGAGAGGAGGAAATAGGAGAGCAGAGAGCTTAGAACGCTGTCAGGAGCCAGTGAAAAGTGGAAAAGGAGAGGCAGAGAGTTTGAAGAGCTTTAGGCGTTCAACAGACAGGGAAAACTGAAATGAGAAAACTAAAATTTGAAATTGAAAATTTGAATTCAGGAGCCATCAAAATGGCTAAGTAGATAGAAGGCACTTAGCCTGCACACAGGCCTCTTGACTTGAGTTTACTTCCTAGATCTCACAAAGTGGGAGAACTGGGTCTGAAAATTGTTCTCTGAACTCCACATAAGCGCCTACCTAACTACACACACACACACACACACACACACACACACACACAACACTCACACTCTCTCTAAATAAATACATAAATAGATAAGAATTCAGAGATGGCCAAGAAAGTGATACCTTGATAAACACACTTTTAGTGTAGACCCAGTAAGGATCAAGAAATACAAATATGGGCTGTCAAGATGGCTCAGCAGGTGAAAGGGCTTGCGATACAAGCCTGACACCCTGAGTTGGATCCCCAGAACCCATGGTGGAGAGAGTCCCAAAAGTTGTCCTCTGACCTCTACATGAGTGCCACGGCATATGTGTACCTGTACTCACATATATATATA